CAGATAAAGTCTGATAACCTGAGTTTGACCCCATACACACACACACACACACACACACACACATACATAATGTAAAAAATACACATACATAAATGTAAAAATACTTTCTGCTACTCTCCTCCTCAAAGTAACTCTTCCTCTGGGTATTTATGCTGATGAAATCCTATTACATTTCTTCATCCCAGGCTTGCACTAAGTAATCTGAGCATGCAGACAAATTTCAATAAAATGAAAACTCATTTCTCTTCCAAAAACCTGATTTTAAATTAAGTTATAAGCAAAGCCATAATTTTAAAAGTGAAAAATTAGATCGCCTCATTAAAACATAAATGACTCAGCCGGGGCTGCTAAAAAGCTAAATGACGGGGCTAAACAGCCTGGGGTATAAAACCATCCGTGATGCCCACCCTTGGCTCGAGAAGGCAGCCCCTGATCAGGAGCATGAAGATGTCAGGAGAAATGGAGACGAGGCTGAGGGGAGGGTTTACAGAGCAATCGCCACTGTATCCCGAGTACTGGAATGTGATACAGTCGGACTCCGGTGAACAATGCCTGTTTACCACACCGAGCAATAGGAAGCTTCGATTTCAGTGGCATCAGCTCCCCAAAGAGGGTTAGGTAATTCAGAGAGTGCATCCACCCAGGGCCTTGTCACCTATGTGACTGCACTGACAGATGTGTGCCCGTGATATCACCCTGAAACAACCATCACAAAGCAGGTTTGTCACCTTGAAATAAAGCTTGACACAGGCCCTCTCCTTTCATCGTAAACCATTGGTTTTGCCAGTCTGCGCTCATTGCCCCTCAGCCTGCACTAGAGCCTAGTGGGTCCCCACCCCCTGGGGGCAACCCTTGCCTCTAATGGTTTTCGTTTATCACCACCTACTGATCCCTGCAAACTGACCCATCTTCCAGTCTGACATTTCTGCTCTATGTGAACAGGGCCTCAAGCAGCCTCAGGATGCTCGGGAGTTCCTGGCTTACTATGTGGCAAGAATGCCTTGAACTATGGGCGCTTCTGCCTCCGCCTCCCCAATGCTAGAATTACAGCTGCCACCATTCCTGGCTCCAGGCTAATACTGCTATGGTTTCCTTCCGTGTTGGGTCATGTTCATCTCCATCCCACATGACCATGCTCCGATTACATGTTCTTTGATTCACTCTCATACTAACTACTTCTCTGAAAGAGATCCGAATCTCGGACAGCGGAGAGATGACTCCGTCAGTAAAGCCTTTGGCTCGTGAGCAGGAGGACCCGAGTTGGGATCCTGGCATTCACGTTAGTTTCTGTTTGCTTGTTTTTGAGACAGGATCTCTCTAAGTAGCTCTGGCTAGTCCAGAACTTGCTGTGTAGACCAGACTAGCCCTGAGGAAGCAGGGAGACGGGCAGACCATTGGCGCTCTCACTGGCCCACTAGCCAAGCCGGGAGCTCTGAGTATGGGAAGACATCCTATCTCAGAAAATACAGTAAAGAGTGATTGAAGGAAACACCCAACAGGGACCTCTGCCCTCCAAATACTGCCACACACACGTGCACCCACACACAGAAGCATGTACAAACACACACGCCAGGCACATACAATCCAAAGTTCACGTCTAAGGTGGTCCCCTTCTGCACCATACAGACACAACAAACTCCTATGCCTTGCTTTAAAGGAAGAGAGGAGAGGTTCATCCTAGCAATCACCAGTAACATTGTCCTCATTCAAATCTTTGCTTCACAGCTAACTTAGAAACATGCATTGTCATACCCAAACATCTTTTTTTTTTTTAAATTAGGCTCTACTTTCTTTTTTGGAGGGGTATTGCGGGAGGTGATAGAAAGTCTCCTGTAGCCCGGGCTAACTTCAAAATCGCTCAGCAGCTGAGGGTTTCCTTGGCTTCCTACTCCCCTGCCCTCCACCTCCCAAGTGTGCTGGAAAGGTTCTGCATCCTTCATACCTGCCCGCCTCTCTCTCTCTCTCTCTCTCTCTCTCTCTCTCTCTCTCTCTCATACTTGGCTATTTGGTTTCTGCTCTGCAACAGACTGTACTTCTCCCCTAACTTTTCCATGTGAAAATTTTATTATTGGAGAATTTTTCTCTCTTTTTTTTTTTATTTCCAGTTTACTTACTCACCGCATCATGGAGGGAACAGGAATGAGTTACAAATCTTGTCAACTTAAAAAGGTTAGAGCAAACACATAAAGATGTATAATTTTTCTAAAGGTTTGTCTTATTAGTTTAAGCCTAAAGCCAATGATTTTTCCCATCAAACTGTACTCTCCATGAAAAACCAAAAGGTACTATCACCGTGTAGACACAAGAGTCACAAAAGCAACACAAGGTAGAAGTATAACCCACACAAACAGAAAAAAAAAAAATCACACATTGCCTCATTTTCCCGGAAAGGTAACGACTATACAGAAGGCATAAAGCAGGCATACACCAAATAAAGACCTAGGAAGGGCTTCAGAGAGCTCAAATTTTAACCGTCCAAGCCATCCTTAATCTCTGCAAGTGACTCTATCTACACAGATGGAAGATCTCATGGGAATGAAAGCAGAGGCTAGCTACATTCACGTCTGTCTGAGATGGGCCATCATAGAAGCCACCACCTGAACGGAAGACAGGAAGAACAGCCACCAGTACCTGGTCATCAGCATGGGGAGTAGCACACAGGGATGAGAGAAGAGACTGCAGAAGAAATGAGAAAGAAACACAGAAGCCTTGAGTAGCCAGGGTTGTACTCAGGTCTGCTGCAATGAATTCTTCTCAACTGCTGGCAGCAGACAGACCTGAACAAGGCAGAGCAACAGACCTTTTCCTCCCAAGGAAATATTTTCAAAGCAAGATACAGTGTTCAATTACCCATCTTTAGGATTAAACCAAAATTAGGTAAACAAAAACTTTCAAGTGGAGAAAAGTATGGGGAGCTGATGAACTCCTGAATGAATATGTCTTATTGACATGAGCATAGCAGGGCCTTAGACTCATGGGAATGGCAAGGCCTGCCTCGGATCAGGGTAGGGCCTTATGATTCCTCTGAATATGAGCATTAATGCTTGCAGGGTGTGCAGAAAGAATCAACACAAAGATGACTGAAGCCTGAGGCTGCTTCCCTATGGAGCCCCCTCCCAAGAGTAGCTAAGCTGCCACCTCCTCTCTGCGTTGAAGCTGAGTCTCCTGGCCACTGCATTCTGATGCATTCCCATCAGATCGCTGCCCCCTGGATCCCAGCTTTTCTAAATGGTGTCTGTCTTTTCTTCAATCTCTGTCACTTCCGTCAGGTCAACCTGAACGCAGGGAAGTTCATGACAGAAAAGCATAGTTTCAGTCAAGTAGCAATGTTATAATCAACAGCTTTCTGCCGTGTGGTCTTAGCAGCAATCAAAAACTAAATCAACAGTGGTCTAGAAGATAACCCTCCATTCAAAGAGGGTTTCTATCTTCAGGTCTCTTTTCTCCAAAACGGAAAAACATCAAACTGTATACAGACAACAGTATAAAGTAAAAAGAAATACTGGGGCGAGATGGCTCAGCAGTTAAGAGTGGTTGCAGCTCTTGCAGAGGACTGGATTTTGCTTCCCAGCACCTATATCAGGGGGCTCATAACCACCTGCAATTCCAACTTCAAGGGACACACCATCCTCTTCTGGCTTCTGCAGACACCTATGTGCACATATGCATACACACAAGCATCCATGTGCATGCCACAAAAAAAAAAAAAAAAACACGTGACTAAAAATAAGATAAAAATTTCAAAATAAAACCCTATATTGTCTCAGTTCCCCATTTATTCTCAGGCAATAATACCCTTTATAATGGCCCTTTCCACAAGCTATTCTACATAGAGATAAAATGCTTTACATCTTAATATTCAGTATCAGTTCATTCAGAAGACTAAAAGAAACTAAGATATGTTTATGAGGAAGGTAAGACTCGATAATTGAATATCATATTATTCTCTCTATAAAAAGACACCATATTTGCTCAGCTATGATAGGATGCATAGGAAAAGTCTGAATGACGTAAGAGAAAGCACAAGAGTCGTGTGCCAGGCGGCCTTGAACTGATGCAAGCTGTACAAATTTCAGAACAATTTTACACTGAGTTCATGTAGTACACTTCTCCTTGGATCCCTAGGCAGAACCCACTGTGTGAAACATGGCACTCTCTTCCCAACTTCTGAGTTTTCCAGTCTCAACTGGCCATACCTGGAGGGTAACTTGTGGCTACACAGTGCCCGAAATGTTCACCCCACTGACCCCTTCTCCACCCAACACCCAAAATGGTCACCCCATTGACACCCTCTAACCAACCAGCCCCCAAACACCATCTGTAGTGGTTTGAATGAAAATGACCCTACAGGCTCAAAGGAAGTAGCTCTATTGGAGATGTGGACTTGTTGGAGTAGGTGTGGCTTTGTTGGAACATGTGCATCACTGGGGGTGGGCTTTGAGGTCTCAGATGCTCAAGCCAGGCCCAGTGCAGCATTGCTCTTCCTGCTTCCAGCTGATCCAGACGTAGAACTTTCAGCTACTTCTCCAGTACCATGTCTACCTACATGCCATCATGGTTCCCACCATGACAATAATGGACCGAATCTCTGAACTGTAAGACACCTACAGTTAAATGTGTTCTGCTATAAGAGTTGCCACAGTCATGGTTTCTCTTCAGAGCAAAAGAAACCCTAAGACATCATCTAACCAAACAGAACCCAAAATGCCCACCCAACTAGCACCATCTAACCAAACAGCACCCAGAAAGCTTACCCTAGTAACATCATCTAACCAAACAGCACCTGGAAAGCTCACCCCACTGATACCATCTAACCAAACAGCACCCGAAAAAGCTCACCCCACTGATACCATCTAACCACACAGCACCCGAAAAAGCTCACCCCACTGATACCATCTAACCAAACAGCACCCGGAAAGCCTGCCCCACTGACACCATCTAACCAAACAGCACTGGGAACGCTCACCCCACTGACAGTCACTTCCCTTTCTTCTTCTTACCTGATAGTGTGCCTGGGCTTGCTGAGCAGAGTTCAAGGTGACATTGCAGAGTTTGCAGAAGAGGGGCTTACAGAGCTCCTCCAGGGCAGAGTCTGGCTCCCCTCCCTTAGCTAACTCTTCTTCCCCTGCCAGGGGCAAGGATGTCTCCTGCCCAAAAGCCTTCTGTGGTGGAAGCTGCAAGGTCCTTGTGGACCTGGCAGCCACTGACATAGGAGGAGAGGTCGAGGGCCGCTTAGGTGGAGGAAGTCCAGCCTGCTGCAAGAGAATCATCAGGTAGAAAAGCCACGGGCATAATCCAGTGGGTGATCAGGGGTGGCGTCTTCAAACCTAAAGCAACCAGGAAAGAAAATGAAAAAGAGATCTCAGCAATACGACATAGAAATGACACCAACATCTTTCTCTTCTCTAAACCCAGCTTTGGAGCATCTCTCCTTAACCTTAGCCTACCAGACGTTCCCTGCCTGCTTATCCTGGCTGACTGAGAATAGCTTCTGAGATTTGCTTTTTATTTTGCTTGGCTCAGTTCCAAATGCCATCCCTCTGGCCATGGGCATTAGCAGCATTGCATCCATGTCCAATTAAGTTGAAAAGTCATATGACTAGAACTGAACATCAAAGGTCATCCTCCAAACCCTTCTCTCTGGAATGCTGAACCACTCTTGATGGTGATATGCACAACCAAAACAAACAGGCAAGCAAAGAACAAACAAGGGAAAGCCACCCACCTGGTGAGAAGCTCTTCCACCCAGAGGATGCTAAAGAGTGAAAAGATCATCACCTCTAAGCATCTCTCTCCCTTTCTTTTATGCATTTTGTCTTATTTGTTTTTACTGCGTGTAAGTGTGTATTGCAACATGGCAGAAGCTCTTCTTCCACCTGTACACACACGTGTGTATCTAGGAGGTATGGCAAGCACTTTACCCACTGAGCCATGTCACCAGCCACCGTTTTTTTATGACAGGATGTCACACAGTCCAGGACGGCTTCCAATGTGCTGAGAATGACTTTAACTTCTTGACTCCACCTCCCAAGTGCCAGGATTACAGTCCTGCACGGCCACACCCAGCCACCTATCAGATCTTTAAGGCATTTCTATAACTAGTTGGAAAGTGGGTGAAATCTAAGAAGAGGATGGCATTAAAGTTCTGCAAGGTACAATGGACAGGGGCAGCCCGTAGACCCCGGATGGCACAGTGAGCTGTTTGGAAGATAGTTTTGTTTTGCTTTTGTTTGTAAGTTAAATAAATTGTCAATATTTAAAAATTAAAAGCTTCACAGAATCCAGCAATAGAAGGATAATCTGGCAACACTACACCCACGCCCTCCACTGCACACAACCACCTGTTTGGTGCCAAATACACTATACCCAGGCCAGCCTTCTCAGGGCCCCTTCAGCCCTAGTAGGGGTGCTGCCTAAAGGCCTTGGGGTGATGACTCTACTCCATACAGCCTTTGACTACACTCCTGAGACCCTTGTAAGTTTAAAAATACCTTCTCTCCATCAGGAGGTAAATCACACACTCAAGATAAAGCATCCAGAGTATGAACCAAGTAATGGACCACACTATCCTAAGCCCTGTGGTGACTTATAGGCCATTTATATAATTCCTTTTGCTTTCTAAAGGATACACTCAGTGATGGTTATAATTCCAATTGTCAATTTGACAGGATCTGGAATTACCTAGAAAAGGAGCCTCATTGAGGGTTGGTCCAGACTAGGTTGGCTGTGGGCATGCCTATTAGGGATTTTCTTAATTAGGTTGAGGTGGGAAGACCCATCCTAAGAGTAGGTAGTACCACAGCATGATCCTGGATGGCATCAAAAGGAGGCAGAGCTACACTCGCATTGTTCTCCTGACTGTGAACCCATGAGACCACCTACCATGACAGCGTGAGCAGCTGCCTCGGGCTCCTGCTGCCTAGACTACCCCACTATGGTAACTGTGCCTTAAACTGTCAGACAAAATAGATGAACCCTTTCTCCCTTAAGTGGCTTCTGCCAGGGTATTTTATCATAGCAACGAAAAAAGAAAACCAAGGCACTCTATTCTATTTTCCTCAGACAAGACCCACTATGGCCGGGCAGTGGTAGTGCCTTTTATCCCAGCCCTCGGGAGGCAGAAGCAGGCAAATCTCTGAGTTCAAGGCCAGCCTGGTCTACAGAGTGAGTTCCAGGACAGCCAAAGATACACAGAGAAACCCTGTCTCAAAAAACTAAAACGACCCAATATGTCCCACTCCCTCTTTACTTTTACTCCTGCATCTTTTAGTCCTAACCACCTAAAAAAATGTACCACGGTAACATCTTCAAGTAGTCCAGGTTCTAATTATCTAAATTAGAATCCTCATTCAAAGTCTACACTTTCCTCCACTCCCATGATTGTTAAAAACTTTTCTTGGTCAATAGGATGTGGTGTCTTCGGCTGCTGAGGTTGCCATCTGTGATGAAGATGTGTGGGCTAGGGCAGTAGCAGGTTTACTAAAAGGACTCAAGGGCTCTTTAAAAAGTAAAAGTTAGCACATTTGGTAAACACACAGTGAGGAGGAGCCTCAAGATGAAGAGATGGTTAGTCGTAGAAATACACAGTACTTATTGTTTAATTGTAATAGCTAGAAAGGAAGAATATTCAACCGCCCATATCTCTGGAAACACAAAGAAAAGGGATACAGATTTGGAACATTAAAACAATAAGCTTCTCTGAAACAATATTATTTCTCCCAACTAAATAAAAGACATCCAAAAACCAAAGGTGATTATGGAGGTGGGCAACGAACCTAAAGAAGCAAAACCAACTTTTAAAATAGTTTAACTACTCAGTCATAACTGACCATGTCACTCACTAACTTGTCACACAGATTGGGTTAGGTCATCGATGCTGCCGGGTCATGGAGAAAGGACAGAGCAGGGTACCAAAACATCCGATAAAGGAAATCAGCAACAGACACAGAAAAGTGAAGAAACCCACAGCCAGGCATGCCTGGGCTTGTCTCTTGCACGCTTACTCCCACCTGAGGAAACCCAGCAGGCATTGCCCCCACTGTGACACAGTGCTTTCCAGCAGAAGCAAGGGCCTCCTCAGGACAGAGGCACAAAAGGCCTAATTCCAGAGCAAAACACCGGTGGGGGTGGGGTGGGGGTATTTACAGTGCAGGCTTACCTATCACTACATTTTATCTTCATAATGTTCAAAGAAAGGGTAGAGACCTCAGAAACACTGCTGTTATATATAACCAACATAAAGCTAATCCCCTCTCAAAAAAATCCATTGGCATCAATCACAACAGGTATTGCATTTGAGTAATAAATAAAACCAAAACGTCAGTGAACGCACAAACTGTAAAATACAGAGACCCAAAACACTCGGATCAAACTGCAAACCGTTCAGACTGCTGCATTAATTTAAGAGACTAATTTGGAAGCCGATATAAAAATACTTCTCAGATCTTAAAATCCATCCGATTGGACGTGTGCAATGGCATACATGAAGGATGCACAGGGCTTGATGTCCTAATTTGGAAGGGAGCTGAGAAGACACTAAGAAAAATCACAGCTCCACCATGTACCGGTTTAAGGGAAATGAATGACCACAGCACACGTTTCCATGGCTGGGCTGGGGCCTACTCCTCCAGGGCTGTATCGCAAACAGCCCTCCCCGTGGCAGAAATGGACCCAAGGAAAAGAAGAAAATCCAGGAACAGGTTCCTGGCTTCCGCTTAAAGTAGGGAAGGCTGTCCCTGGGTATTCTGGAGAAGAGAAGAGAGAACCTTACTCAGAGGTCACCAGAACGCGGCAAGCAGAGAAAAAAAGAGTTCCGGAGGCTGTTTTACATCACAGAAGGAGGCTGAGATGGGAAGGAGGCCCCGGCGACCCAGGCTCTGCTCTTAGGACTCAAAGCTGCGCCCCTGCAGCATCGCCCCCACCCAAGCCATTCCTGGGCTGGGCGCGCACACACGCACTCCGGTCCCGCGCGGATGCCGGCGGGGAGCACCCAGTCGCCGAGGCGGCTGCGCGAACGGCTGCGGGATCGGGCTCGGGAGCCCGCCGGTCGCCGCAGGCGGCCGAGGCTGACACGCGCACACGGACGCAGCCGCGCGGACCAGCGCTCCTCCGCACTCACCGGAACCGGCAGGCCGCCGCCGCCCCCGCCACCCCCACGCGCCAGTGCGCGGCTCCACGACCACTTGGTGCGCTCGCCGCTGCTGCCCGGCCGCTCCGCTGCTGGAGGTTGACTGTCAAAAGTCGGTCGGATCGGAGCCACAGGGAAACAGCTGCAGGAAGTGACTGCGGAACCGGGAGGCGGCGGCGGAGGCGGAGGCAGGGCTCCCGGCGGTGCCACTGCGCATGTGCATGGGCCCCAGCGGCTCCCGCAGACCCGGGGGGCGCGGGGCAGGTGCGGGACGGTGACGTGAGAGGGTACATTACCCGGGCACGGATGACTCTCGGGGCTGCCCCACCTACCCTGACAGCGATGCAGGCAGAAGCCTGGCACAGCCTGGTAGGAGGGCGGAGATTCTCGTCTGGTACCTCGAAACTACACTCCCTGCGCCCCCGCCCCGAGATGTAGAGTCACAGAGCTGCCGAGTCCGCACTGAGGACCTCCGCTCACCTACCTGCACAAGGCGGTGAGAGATGAGGGACACTTCCTCCCGACCCTCGCAGCCTCACCTGCAGGACCAGACGGCCCACAGAACATCTTCAAGAGAGACGCTAAAATGGATCGCAGCCATGGTTCCGCTGGCATTGTACCTTCTAATTCTGCATGTGATTACTTGTGTGGTACCGGGTTTTTCTCCTTGGACAACATGATACAAATTTTCCGTTTACCATCTGCAGAGTATGATTTCTCAGCATCAAGTACTTTCATATTGTGTGCGGTTATTGTGTAATCATAAACTAAAATGCCAAGGAGGTCTAGTAAGATGTGCCCTGCCTTTGAATATTGGAGGACTGTTCAGCAGACACACGAAGCTAGCTAGTTGTGCACCAGCCATAGGGGAAAGTACTCCACCATGCAGATGTGGTTAGCGCATGGGAAGTATATGTGAAAATATCGCGTAGCTTGTCTTTAAAATGACAGAGTGGAAATGCATTTCCTGTAAGGCCTCAGCCAGTCTGAGCACCTGGCCGTCACCAGGGATCGTGCCGGGGCCCTGGCTGACCTTTCTCATCCGACAGCCCTCATCCTCACTTCCACTCCCAGGCCTGTAGTAGGTAGATATCATGTCTTATGACAAAATCGTAACAAAGGCAACTGAAGAAAAGAAAGGTTAGTTTTGGCCCATAGTTTGAGGACACAGTTCATCACATCAGGTAAGGCATGAGGGCACGAGAGGGGCAGCTGGTCGTACCAGCCCGTAGTAAGGAAGCCTGGAGGAGCCATGGAATGCCACCACCTACATTCTGTTAGTCTAATCTAGGAACACTCCCACCCACAAGTCCAGAAATGGTTTTAAATCAGGTTGACAGTCAGTGTCCTGTGCACCCCAGGCCTAGGATCTCACATTACCTCTGTGATTTAACTCAGCCTGTCCTGAGTGAAATGCCTTTCTCCCTGCCCACACTGTCCCGTCCACCCCTGCTGTCCTCTCTCAAGCTTCCATGGTGCTCTCAAGGCACTGCACTGAGAAGCCACTGTGTCCATTCCCCACGTTTTTAATTTCCTATATTCTCCATCTGCCTTAAACTCCTTGAGTGCGGGAAGAAACAGGTTTTGGAGTTTTCTGCCTCCATAAGGACAGAGGCTGCTTATTGGTTCCTAGCTGCTCAGCCCCAAAATAACCACACAGAAGCCATATTATTTAAAACACTGCTTGGCCCATTAGTTCTAGTTTCTTATTTGCTAACTCTTACACCTTAATTTAACCTATCTCCATTAATCTGTGCATCATCATGAGGTCATGGCCTACCAGCAAAGTTTCAGCACATCTGTCTCCAGCAGCAGCTCCATGGCTTCTCCTCTCTGCCTCCTTTTTCCCAGCAGTCAGTTTAGTTTTCCCCGCTTAGCTCTGTTTCCCTATAGCTCTGCTATATGCCCAAAGCAGTTCCTTTATTAACCAATGGCAATCATAGCATACAGAGGGGAATCCCACGTCAGTTTTCAGTTTATGGTTTTATGCATACATAGATGTCAGGATAAAAATTTAGAAACCGAATGTAGGGACCTCACTCTCTAGCTCGTACTTACACAGACATTCAGTATTCCATATTTACTACTCATGACCGTACACTCACCTCAGACAGCTAAATCATTTCCTTCCCTGGCCCAGGAAAAAGTAGGCAATCCGAAGATACTTGTTTCATAGGCCGGTAAGTCTCATGGCAGAGACAATGCCTGCATAAGTCAGAACTTTTGTTGAGAATCACTGGATCTTAATAAATGAATGAATGAATGAATAAATAAATGAAAGAAAAATAAATAGGTCACAAACCATTCATCACTTTTACTGCAGGACAAAAACAAATGTCAATGACTTGAGGCTGCAGCCACAAGTGCGATCGTGTGCTGAAGGTGAGCTGGCCGAAGGCACGCCTTTATAGGACGTGGACCATTCTTGAAACAAATGAGAGGATCGGAGGTGTTCGTGGAAGCTAGTGGAGTTGCTTAAAGCTACGTGTCACATTGTAACACTGAGGTATTATGGCCCATCCACACAGATTCCAGTGGCCGAAGCCACTCCTGTCACTAACCTCAAGTCAGTACAGCCATCACTGCCTTCACAGGCATTTGGCAGGGTGATAGATGGCAATGGAAATGAACCATTCCAAAGGAGAATACAATCTGGGGCCAGTGAGATGGCTCAGTGGGCAAAGTGCTTTGCTACCAAGCCTGGTGATCTGAGTTCCATCCCTGGTACCCACATAGAAGCCAAGTGCGGTGGCATGCATCTGTAGTCCCAGCTCTGCAATGGTCAGGTGAGAAGCAGACAAGAAGGTCTCAGGCCAGCTGGGCTGGAGTATGCAGAACGGCAGTAGAAATGGGGGAGCCCCTGCTTCAAGGTGGAAGGTGAGAAATGATTCCCCAAAACTACCGTCTGACCTCCATGGCAGCCCTGCATTCACACAAGCATAGGGTAATAGTAATGATAATAATTGTTTTAAACAGTATAATCTGACGCAAATATGGGCAGCCAATCTTGTCACTTAGAGGTGTTCTTATAAGTACAGGAAAGATCTCATTTCTACTCCCTTCCCCCAAACAAGAAGTTCCTGAGGTTGTCTGGAAAGAAACTGTGGACACAGAAGTAGGGGAACTCCTAGACAGATCTGGGGGTCTGCACCTGGGGTTCCTGAGCTCGCGCATCAGGGCGATGTGGTCCAGAGGTTTCTACCTCAGTAAGCCCACAGAGAAAGCAGCATGGCTCAAGCTTAGTGTTTGGTCATGAAGAACCAAAAGTCCCCAAACTTGTCATTTCTTTAATACCTGCAGCCTTAAAACCCACTCACACTAGCTAGAAGTGAAAGGAGAGAGCTGAAGGTATAGATTGGTCACCCCAAAGCTATAGACAACATGTGAACTTTTTTTTTGACTCTTTATTTTTTTTTAAATATTTATTTATTATGTATACAATATTCTGCCTGTGTGTATGCCTGCAGGCCAGAAGAGGGCACCAGACCTCATTACAGATGGTTGTGAGCCACCATGTGGTTGCCGGGAATTGAACTCAGGACCTACGGAAGAGCAGGCAATGCTCTTAAGCTCTGAGCCATCTCTCCAGCCCGGCTCTTTATTTTTTTATTGAGAAAAGTAAAAAAAAAGTTTCAGCCTCCTCCCAGCCTCCCATTTCCCTCCCCCTCCTCCCACCCTTCTCCCCCTCCCCCCACTCCTCTCCCCCTCCCTCTCCAGTCCAAAGAGCAGTCAGGGTTCCCTGCCCTGTGGAAAGTCCAAGGGTGGGGGGGGTACAGTGTACTTGACAAAAAAATCTTTATTAATATAACTATTATATGGGAAACACTTAATTCATCAGTGGAAAACTCCCATCTTAAAACAAAGATAGTTGGGCAGTGATGATGCGCACACCTTTAATCCCAGAACTCGGGAGGCAGAGGCAGATGGATCTCTGTGAGTTCCAGGCCAGCCTTGTCTACAGAGTGAGTTCCAGGACAGGTTCCAAAGCTATAGAGAAACCTGGTCTCAAAAAGCAAACAAACAAAACAAACACACACACAAACAAAAACCAAAGATAAAGGATCTGGAGAGATGACTCAGCAGTTTAGAGCAACTGCTGCTTTTGCAGAGTACCAGGGTCCAGTTCCCATAACCCACATATTGATACCCAACCATCTGTAATTCCGGTTCTAGAGGACCAGGTGCCCTGTTCTGGCTCCTCAAGAACCAAATATGTGTGTGATACACCTGTATATGTACAGGTAAGGAATGTATATGTATAAGATAATTTTTAATAAGTGATAAGTTGGCACAGGCAACCAAGGTCATCAGCGTGTACATGGCCAGTTCAAGGCCAACCTGGGCTACGTGAGAATCTGTCTCAAAACATAACAAAGAGAGAATTATTTTCATTATACTAAGTTATTCACAGCAAAAATCTACAGTTCTGGCTTGTTTACCAATAATATAATTGATTCTAGAATACTTTGGTGACTTGGATTGAGGTTTGGGGGTGTCTACACCAGGAATCTCCATGTGGACCCATAATCAGGAGAGAAGAGACATTTTATCATCTCCAAGGACTGGTGCATTTGTCAGGTCAGTTTCCCCTCTTGTGTGGAAATTTGCATGGAGTTTGAGACACCGTGAGCCTTCACTTTCGTACTCAGGGCACAATGCACGATGCCTACCCATGTTACTTTCTCACTGTCTGCATCAGAGAAAGACTCCCAAGTTACTTTTGCTGCTTTCAGGTACGCTTCTTTACAACAACAGCAACGTGATATACCAAAAGTTCAATTCACGCCAAACAGTCCCTCCAGTGTCTTCATAGCATTCCCCCCCCCCGAAAAAGAATGTGGGACAATAGTGGAAGGGTGTCAAGTGGGGGGGGAGTAATAACTTCCTTTCACTCCTCTAATGAAAAGCTGGACCCTGTAGATAGATAGGTAGATAGATAGA